TCTCTAAAGTTTATAAAACTATCGATTCAATAGACTATAGAGTCATAGGGAAAGTCATAAATTTTATTAAATAATCCCAAAATAAAAACTTTAAAAATAATCACTTTAATAGTCACACAGTAGGCCTACCCTTGTTAGTGGCTAATGTCGGCCAAATTACTGTCCAATAATAATATTAACGGTATTATATTGATTGTCGGCTAATATATATGGTAACAGTAGTGGTGATGGTGTCGGTAGCACTCAATTTGAATACTAAAAAAAGTGGTTACCCACTATTCCCGTAGCCAACACTGGCGGTGAATTTGCTGTCAGCCAACTGTCCCTCTTATCAAACAACTAAACCGATGGACAGCTATGTTTAAGGACAGGAACAACGGTAGTTCACTGGTAGTCGGCCAAAATATATGCCAACTTTGAGCGCCGACTATCGGAAGTGCTGGATATCAACGTTGAAATATCTATGGCCAGCATATATTTGTTGGACATATTGTTTGGCCTTCGGTGTTGCATAATAGCTGGCATTGTTTTATATGGGATGTATGCCGACCATTGGTTTTGCTCTGGTGCTGGTGTTTCAGCTCCGCCACCGATGATAATGACGATGACGAGGAACGGGATGTGCATATAATTAGCAAAAAAAAAAAAAAAATCGGCGGCAACACTAAGTACGACACACCAGCTCATGGCCGCCGATTTTTTCCCGACCCGTCGCCCCCAATATATCTAGTCATAGGTCGCCAATTGACTCTCACAGCCGGTAGCTCCGGGATGGCAGACATTCAGATTATAAAAAATAGTGTCTAAACTATCTGCTAATTTGGTGTCCATTAGTTCATTAATTATTAGTATTATTTTAATTAATATATATATATATATTATTTTCATTAGTCTTATGTATTGATTTTTTTATAAATATTATTTATATATTTTTTGTGTGATTTTTTTTGACTCAAAATTGAATATATTATATATAATAATAATAATAATAATAATAATTGGTTTATTGTTTAATTGTATAAAAACATTTTTGCTGTTGTTTATTTTTGTTGTAGTTTGGTTTAAATAAATACAAAAAATAAGTCAATTTATTTTTGGTCAATTTTTTTTGTTGTTTTAAATTTAATAAAGTTTTTATATTAAAAATTTATTTAGTAAACTTAAATTATAATTTTTCATAAATAAATAAAATATAACACTTATATATTGCTATAAAAAGCAAAATTACAACAATTTATTTTAATAATACTAATAATTATTAATTATTATTAATATTAATCAATACTTTTATATTATAATTTACTTACACGTGCGCGCACGTGTTTAACTCAACAATAATTATATAGCAAACTAATAAATTTAAATAATTATATTTATTACACAATTTTTGTTGTTTTATTCAACAGTTTTACTTATAAAAAAAATTTGTGAACAAAAAAAATTGTTAGAAATATCTCACATTTGAAAACTAATTTTATAATTGTTTTTTCAATTATCAATCAAAAAATCATGTCCGCAAACAATAATAGATTTGAAACAACAACAACACTATTGATTAGTATAATAATTGTGATAATATGTGCCAAAACTACTATTATACTGTCGTTGCCGACAAATAATGATTTGAATACTACCACTACTGCCGGCACCCGTATTAAGCCGCCGGTAACTGATATGAATGTTACCGTACATAGCACTGGTAGTTATTATACTGACGGCACAACAGCAAAGACAACCGTCACCACCACCACCACCACCACCGATAAGCCACTGCCAGCTAACCTATTGCTAACTGTGCTGATCGTTGTCATTGTCAGTGTTGTCGTATTGGTTGTCGTACTCATGTTTCTGTGCTGTTGGTTCTGGTTCTGTACTAACAGAGCCAATACTTCCACTACCACTCAGCGGCTGGTGTCCAATGCCGATGACAACAGCAGCAGCACCAGCAAAGCCATCGACAATAATAAATATAATAATAATAATAAGGACAGTAGGTCTCAGATAAACAACAAGAGTAGCAATGAATTGTCGTCGACGTCGGCCTATAGGGACAAGTCGTCACCCGATGCCCGATACGTTTACGGCCTGTATATGTCGACCATTCAGGACCAGGAGCAAAGGGATCGTAATTTGGTTGTTAATACAGCGGCTACAGGAGCTGCTGCTACTACTCCTGCGACTAACAGTGCTAGCAATAGTAGCAGCAAAACAGCCACTGGTGGCGGCAGTGGTGAAGGCGGGTCTAGAAGTCGCGAAAGTCTGAAAACAGCAAATAACAAACCATTAGCTGTCCGATCGGGATTGTCCGCCGGCAGTTCGGGTGCCGGTGCATCGGGTGGCGGCGGTTCGCTTAGTAGCGAATCGCTCAATGGTGGTGGCGGTGGTGGTGGTCGGATGGTGTCCGACCAAAATGACAGTAGTGTCGGTCGGGCAGATAGTAGCGAAAGTAGTAGCGGGAAAAAGTCAAAATCTCCCCGAAGACGACTACGCATACGACGACAACAATCGGTAAACAATAACAAAAACAACAATAACAACAACAATAGCGACAAACAGCGGTCAAAAGTAATCGCCGACAGTCAGGACAGTACGGATAATGTCGACAAACGGGTCAAACAGTTGCTGAATGAGTGAAAAATGATAATTAAACTGAAGTTAAATACACTTTTATTTTATTTATTTATTTTTTGTGTTAATTAAATTAATTTATTGTTTTTTTAGTTTTGTTTATTTGTTAAATTAATTTGACTCTATTTTGATTAAAAAAAATTAAAATTTCAATAAATTTTGCTGGCTTAATTAAAACAATTAATATTTTTTAACTAATTTTATTAAATCTATGATTTTATCTACAATTTATTGATATTTTATGATTACAGTATAATTGAACTGTTTATAATTAAATATTTAAATTTTAATAATTAGATATTGAATATAAGTAAATACAGTTAATTAATTATTTAATTAAGATATTACTATTGATAAATAAAAATTTACTTAAAAATCTTAAAATTTAATTACATTATAAACAATTATTAATTTATTTTAATATTAATATATTAATACTATATTTAATTAAATTTGTTGTTAAATTAATTAGCTATAATAATTAAAATTAATTTAGTATTTATGTTGTATCTATACATAATTCAACATAAATGCATAAATTTATACTAGGTAATAATTTATATATTTATTTTACTTTTATATATAAATTAGACAACTTGTTATTACTGTATTAATATATATGTTTATATTGTATATTTAATAATTTTTTACTAAACAATTTAAGATTAAAGTTACTAATAAATTATGTATTTTATAAATTTATGTATATTATATTTTATTTATTTATATTTATAGATAATATATATATATATTATAGATAAAATATTTTAAAAATATCATCATTTTATTTTATTTTTTAAAAAAACTATTGATTTGACTTTTAAATTATCTGGCTAAATTATTTAACTATACCTAAACAAACATTAAATTATACTAATCTGATAAATTTATTTAATATTTTATTAAAAATTTTTAATCAAAATAAAAATAAATAAATATTTTTAATAATCCAAATATACTCGGATACTGTATAATATTGTTTTGTGTATAATATATTAAAGACAATCGTTTAATATATATATTATATAATGGGGTCAAATATACAGTAACATCCAATTGTTCATCTATTTAGTGATTATTACTTTTTTAAAAATCAACAAAAAAAATAATAATAATGCTAACAATTATTCGGCAAATAATAAAAACTATTTGGTATTAAGTGCTTAAATATATAATAGAAAAAAATTATTAATGATAATAATAATGATTTTTTATATTTATTTTTATTATTATTATTATGATTAACACCATCACTACTAATCATAATCATCATCACTGTATAGTATTAGTGTAGAGTCATCTGTAAATTATGATTACATAGGGTATGATTAGTGAAACTTAATAATTGCAATAATTTTTTATTTGTTTTGTTTTTTTCATATAATATTATATATACTGTATATACCGTATATACCATATATATATATAATCTGTTTAAATGGACAAATTGGCCTCAATTTTAATAGTAGCTAACAATAATCATCAATAGTGTAGAGTATATATAAACATAGATTTATATATATTTTACACATATTTTTTAAAAACACTTTCACTATTGATAATCACATTATAGTAATCATAATCATAAACAATATAGTCATTCAAAAAACAAGTGCCATCATTATTGTTATAAAATTTTATAAAAAAAATTTATTTAATTAAAAAATATATTTTTAATGATTTAATAAAACTACAGTGATCAATATTATGGTAAGTGTACAGTATATACTATATATTTATTTATTAATTATAATATTTAAATTAACTAATTATTATTATAAATTAACAATAAATTTATTATAATTATAATTTAGTTAGAAATCTAATCAATTATACTAAAAAACAATTATCAATAGTACTAACTATAATATTAATAAAATCAATATAAACTAATCAATTATACTAAATATTATTAATAAAGTTTATAAATCATATATTATCTAAAATGATGTTTTTTATAAATGTATTTAACAACTATATAAAAATAATTTTTGAATTTAACATTAGTTGTTTTGTTGTTTTTTTTTTAAAAAAAAACTCATTAAATTATTTATAGATTTTCTTAATAACTTATAAATATTTTTTTTAATTTGAAATACATTAGAAAAAAGAGAGGGAAATATTAAATATAATAATAATTAATTGCAGACAAATTTATCACAATTGCAATTAACATTTATGTTATATATAACTTTATATACTAATATATATATATATATATGTAATTTTTATTTTAGATAAAACTAATATCCTTATCGTTATTATTGCTACTAATAATATCGTCGATAACCAACAACAACAACAACAAATGGTTAATCACCGGAGGAAATGCCATAGAGTTTGTTAGCGATTATTCAAATGCCGATCGCTTAATGGTATATAAGCCTGGAGGAGGAGGAGGACTGGCCTATCAATATAGCAGCCGTAATAATAATAATAATAATAGTGTCAAACAATATAACAGTGCCGTCTATGATGGCAACAACAATGATGATGAATACTCGGCCAGTAGTAGTAGTAGTAGTAATAGTAATCATGTTAACAATAATAGGCATCAATTGATGGCCATCTCATATCGTGATAATGATGAGCCTAAATCCCTGAGCTATCAATCGGACTATAATGTAATATAAATAATATATAATAATACTTTTTTGATATGCTATTTAGATTTTTTTTCAAAATCAATATTATTATTTTTATTATTATTATTTATTGTATACCTGTATGAATATTTAGCAGTTTAATAATCTATATTATTATATGTATAGTATATGTATATATTGTTAATATGTTAAGTACTAGAAAATGTTATTATTTTCATATTTAATATAAGTATTAAATTTTATGCATATTTCTATATTCTATACAAATTGATAATACATAACTTAAATGCCCCCTTAACATAACAAATTGATTATTTTGTCATATATTATATATATATATATAGGAGACGCCAATGCCTTATCAGTTTCATTATGATATCGATGATGGATATGGCAATAAACAGGACAGACACGAAAAAGGTATGTCATGTTATATATATATATATATATATATATATATACCGTATCCCATAAGGCTATCAAATATTATAATCAGTTAATAATATTTAGTTATTTTTTTTATTAAGGCATGTCATGCAATAAATATGTATTTTTATATTTTCAAAAAAAACTTAAATATTTTAACAAATCTCTCTCTCTCTCTCTCTCTCTCTCTCTCTCTCTCTCTCTCTCTCTCTCTCTCTCTCTCTCTCTAACACACGCACACATACTCACTCACTCACTCATCAAATTAATTTTTTTTATAAAAATCTATATCTCAATGTCTATCGATATATTTAAAATCCTGACAACCGTTTAATTTTTGCTTAAAATTAATTTTTTATAACTTTAATATCATAGTAGTAGTAGTAGTGTTATATTATGATATATTGATACAGTATATACTCAATTCTAGACTTTAATACACTCTCATATATATTGATATATCATATCTTTATTTATTTTTTAAATATTTTTTTTGAAATAAAAACTAAATTAATTTTTATGCCTTTACATAGCGGATCAATGATATTGAGGGGTAAAAAATTTTTACAACAAAATTTTGTGAGAAAAAAATGCTACTATATATTAATAATATTGAAAAAATTATATTTTTTCAACAAAAAAAACAAAAGATTGTTGATGAGAAAAAAAAACATTTTTTTAGTGATAAAAATCAGCTAATAAATCATTTATAGCATAAAAACATTACATATATTATGCGATTATGTATATTATAATATAATATTAAATTTTTTTACGGTTACATATTTTTAGGTACTGTAATATACAGCAAATTTATTATATAAAAAAAAATTTTTTTTTAAATTTTACTACAATTAATTTTCCATTGCCAACTATTATAAAATTAAAAAATAATAATATATTTATTACATATAGATATTTTGCATGCAATTTAAATTATGAGATCTAAGCGATAATTTTTATGAAAAATTTTTATGAATTTTTTGAATTATTTATTTCTATACTTAACAACCCTATAGTTTGATATTAATATATACAGTATAATATACAGTGTATGATATATTAAACAAACATTTATCACAAGTATTTAGTATTAGTAGTAAAAATTTTATAATTAATTTGTTTTTTGTTTTGTTTTTAAAATTGTCTTTTAATTTTGTTTTTTTAATTTAATTTTTTTATTCATGTCTTTTATAGCCGATGTTTACGGGAATGTTATCGGAAGTTACGGCTATTGGGATTCAAACGGAATTTATCGAAAAGTAATAAAAAAAATTATAGTTTTTTTTACTTTAATTGTTTTTAAATGAAACTATTATATCATCGATAGGTAGACTATACGGCCGATGCCGACGGTTTCAAAGCCAATGTCAACTCAAACGAGCCGTACCTCAGACACGGTGTCAATCCGGCAGACGTCAGACTTGTCGTTGAGGAACAACCTATTCCAGGTGTACTAAGACAGTCGTCATCGACAGCTACCGGTGCTAATGGTGATGGTAGTGGTGGCTATGATCGTAATCTAAACTATCGACGCAATGATGGTGTAGTTGTCGTCGATGATGCTGTAGTCGACAATAATCAAAACAGATATGAAAAATTGTTAAGCAATCAGATCAGGGATGTTATCTATATGAGGGCACCGGTAGATACAATAACAACATCAGCAGCAGCTACCGCTAGATTACAAGCTACCGGTGATCATGAATCGTATGAATTGTTGAATAATTATTATAGAAATAATGTTAAAAATAATTATAATAATAATAATAATTATAACCATAATTACAATTTGGCCCCAATTTTAGCAATGCTAAGTAAGTCACGATTTAATTGATTATAAATGTAATAATAATATATTTTTTTGTTTAGTTATTTTGCGCTAATTTGATATAGTTTTTTATTATTATAATTATTATAAGTAATTTAATTATTATAATATTATCAAATAATAATAATTATTATTATTATACTGTATTATTATTTTATATAAATCTGATTTTAATAATCCAGAATAATTAAAGCGATTATTTATAAAAATCTAATTTTAGATACAAAACAGTCATTCAATGAAAGGCAATTCAATCACAACCTCATGCCTAACCTCATGGCATACATGAGCCCAACTGTTAACAGTGAAGCCGATGACCATCGTATGATAGCCTATCCAAGTAAAAGGCAATATAATGATTAACAAAAATTATTTAAATTAATTAAATTTTAATATATATATATATATATTAAACATTAATATTTTAATACTATAATAATATATAACTCATTTACTAAACAACAAAATAATACCGTAATTATTATTATATGATATGATTACTGTTAACATTATTATTAAATAATTTAAAATAATATAACTTATGTTTTTTATTTTTTTTTACATATAAAATGCATATATATAATTCATAATAAAGATAATAATCACACAATTAATCGCAAACAAACAAAAAATGTTAAAATAAACAAAAAAATATTTATAATTTATTTTCATAAAGTTATTATATTTTCATAATTTGATTATATTGTACCATATAAATAAAATATATCAATTATTAAATTTTTAACTGATTAATTATTTAATACAATCATAATAATAATTATTATTAAATTATTAGTTTAATTCAATGACAATTGTTGTATTGTTGAGCCCAAATAGATTTGCCACCAATCAATATAGTCTATATAATAATAATAAATATTTATAAAAAAAAATTATTATTAATAAAAAAACTAAAATATAAAGTATTATTGAATAATAAACAAAAAATTAATTACAATAAAATTATAATAATATACCCATAATTATTATTATACTAACACACACACACACACACACATCAATTATATAGGGTATACAATTAAAAAATAAATGCTACCGTATATTAGAAATTGCACCAAAAAAATCATTAAAATACCTAAACTTTTTTTTTATAACAAGCAAACAAAACAATAGGTTATATTATTAGTTGCAAATATACAGTATTTTTATATTATATTCAATAAATATTTTAATTACTAACGATTAATAAATATATAAAACATGAAATAACAGCAAAAACAACAATAAGAAAATTTTAAGCCTATTATTATCAATAAATATAAAAAATAAGGTTTTTTTTGATAATTTTAAGGTATTGTAAAAGCTATTAAAAAAAATTCAAGCCATAGTATGCCTAGACTTTGATAATGAAGTTCATTATCCATTCAGACAACCAGAGAGAGAGAGAGAGAGAGAGAGAGAGAGAGAGAGAGAGAGAGAGAGAGAGAGAGAGAGAGAGAGAGAGAGAGATTTGGGAGGTGTTAGACCCCATAACAAACCCATTAAGAGCACAGGGAGGAGAAAAATGTGTCAGAAAAATGACTGATCAACTCTATTGTCTTCACACGAATCAATGCATTATTGAAGTAAAGCAAAAATATTTGTTTTTTATTTATAAAAAAAAATATATAATAAATTTTTTGTTTTGTTTTTGTGTTAAATGCATTACACTTATAAATATACACTTATTTGATAAACTAATAGCCTTTCCCTTTAAAGCATAATGCATACAATTTTTTTTCCTATTAAAAATTAAAATATTTTTAAATCTATTAAAAAAAAATTTTTTAAACGCATTAAGTGATTCATATCAAAAATTTTAAACAAAAAATAATATTAAATATAAACACACACTTAGTAACAATTTTTTTTAATGACCTTTAAATGGTATTGTAATTTAGTTAAACATATTATAATATAACTAACATTTTTTTTTGATTTTAGTTTCTGCTATACTATACTATAATAATATTGTTATTATTGTTTTATTTTTTCATTGAATACAAACCTCACGTCATAAAGCAATTTGCGAAAAATGCGTGAAATTTTTCAAGAATTTAATGAATAAATTTATTTTTTATTATTATTATTATTATTAATATTATATCCATTTAAATACTTGCATATTATAGTGAAAATATGCAATGTGTGGTGTAATATGAGATAATAGGAAAATCACTACTTATTTATTTTTTATTATTATTATTATTATTAATATTATATCCATTTAAATACTTGCATATTATAGTGAAAATATGCAATGTGTGGTGTAATATGAGATAATAGGAAAATCACTACTTATTTATTTTTTATTATTTTTTTGCTAATACCATAAAAGTCATTAAAAAAATATAGTTTTTCTTTTTTTTGTTGTTAAAAATATTGCTAATTATTTTTTATAATTAAAAACCACTACAAAAAAAATACAAACAATAAAATCGTTTCGTTTGCCGACCAGAGAGAAAAAAATAATTATAATATAAGACTTACCATCGCTTTGCAAGTCATTGATCTCTTGATTATTATTATCATTAGTATTACTGTTGTTTATCACCGGAGAAATCATTGTTAAGTCTTTAACAGATCGGGCGGTAAACTGCTGTTTGTTACCGACGACGCCAACACTGTCGTTGTTGTTGTCTATATCAGTGGTTGACTGGTCAGTGAACAGCTGAGCTAATGTCTTGAGTTTCGATAATTTTTCTTCAGGTATGACATCCGATACAATTGGTGTCAACAGATCGATAATTTCCGGCGTCTGACGGGTCGGTCGTTTGCAAATCCTATACAATAGTCTGATCCAATCGATTCGAGACATCACTCGCTGATAGGTTACCGATTGGAAAAGTCGACGAAACTTTGTACTCTTGTCGGTAGCGCCTATAGTCTTGAGTAGTGTTACAAACCAACACATTGCCAAATGTTGTTTAGCTGGCGATGTTGTTGTTACCGATGATGACTGATCGACGGCGTCACTGTTATCGTTGATAAATCGGTTGACCAATAGATTCAATAGCAGCGATAGACAACCGCTGTTTTCGGTAACAATTGCAAATAGACTCGAAAAACGTCTTAAATATAGTTTCGGTACACGAAGTGTATCGAAATTGATTTTTTTGCCACAAAGATATAGCTGCTGACCATTGATGTTGTCGTCATCATTGTTATCAGCGGCGGCAACAATATCACCGCAAATCAGATGGCTTACAAAGGCGTCAATCAATTCATTTCTATGTCTTTTAATACCATCAATGATTTGCTTTTTGATTGTCGACTTGTTCTTCGACTGTTTCGTCGCTGTCGTCGTCTCCTTATTGAGAAACTCTTGGATCAGATAATAATATTCATTGCGATAATCGTAAAACTCGTCACCGGCGACAACGACGACACTGTCATCGATAACTTTTAGCCAAAAATACTCGCGAAGCCAATCGAGACCAATACGCGATGCATTGCGAAGTTCATCCATCGACGGCTGCGACGATGACGAATGGCAGAGATTGTGTCGACAATCGATGATCCATTGCGGACACGAATATCTGTCGGCCAATCGTTTTACACTTTTCATGTTTGTCTCGTGCGAGTACTGCGATAATGCCGTACAGAAACGTATTACCGATAGACCTAATTAATAGATGAAATAAAGACAACAACAAAAAAAATCAATACAACAACTCAAAGATAGGCCATCACAAAGACCACCGCAATGTTTGACTAACAATAGAGCGAATAGACGGTCGACTCGTCGCTGGTTTCTTCCTCCTCCTCCTCATCATCATCATCGGTACGGTTGCTGTTATTTTGGTGGCCACCAGTGCCGAGATGACGATGATCTTCAATCATGGCGTTGATAATCTCTTTGGTGGCCATCAAGTTGACGGCAATATCGAGTGTAGCCGGGTTTCGGCGGACACGTGTCAGCCAAATAGTGATCTTGTTTTTGGCAAACGCTAACAAATCGTAGTCCAACACCAGCTGATACGTTGCCGTCGGCGTCGATTCACATGAGTCGACACCAACACTATCACCACCACTACTCTGGTAGACACTGTTGAATACAGTGACCAACTCGCGTGAGTCACACCACGGGCTAATCATCCAACCACGATGTTGTTGTTGTTGTTGTTGGCCATTATTGTCGGCAGCCAATGATTTTATCGGTGACCGATTTGTGGTCATTTCGGCTCTCAATATATGTATAGTTAATATCTGTAATGTATTGTAAATATTCAACACGTGTTTGATGTTTGAAATGTGTTACATATATTGTTGTATTGAAATGTCAATGTACTGTAAAATACATTTTAAAAAAAAAACGCTTAATTACTATACAAATATCTATAGAAAGTTTTAGTACTATTTACAAGTATATTATGTAATATGTAATGTTATCAATGATTTAACTGATAAATAGTACTAAACTATCGTTAAGTATAGTTAGACTGTTTTTTTATTTGTTTGTTTGTTTGTACAATGCATTGAAAACACAATTTAAAAAATAACAATAAAATTATTTAATAATAATATAATAATTGTATTTAAAAAAAAAAATTATTAACTAAATGTCTATTAATATATGATAAACAAAACAAGTTTTATATATTAAATAAATTAATTCAATTAAAAACTAATTATTATTAACTTATTATCTGTTTGTTTGTTAATCTGTAATAAAAAGGCGGGACTTGTATTGTGTTTATTGTGTGAAATACACTGTTATTATTGTTTTTTGTTGTAAATATAAACACAGTTTTCTTGATTGTTGTCTTTAAACCGTTTTTTTTGTGGATCAGTTCAATTGACAACAACAACAACAGTGGTCATTGTCATCAAGTGTCACCCAATTGTGTATAAACCACATATATATATATACAGATCACTCAATGATATCCAAGACAAACGCGTGTTGACTAACCCGTGCGCACACACACAACACGCGCGCAACCGACCTGTCGATGGGATAATAATAATAATAATGATATCATTAGACCACTAGTGGTAAACAGTTTCATCAGTGTCTTTGTCGAGTAGTTTTTTGTTTGTTTGTATTGTTGGATGTATTGGATGTATCAATCAATTAAGCCATTGATTGATTGATTGGTTTATTAATTGATTGTTTGATGTTTGGCTTCTTCAGGAATGCTGTAAATGTCTTTAAAAGCAATGATAATAACAATATGAATGTATTGTTTTTGTTTTTTGTTTGGTTTAATTATATATCATTTAATTGATGTCTTTATTATCTTTAGTTAAGTGCCATCAATAAGAAGAATAACAACAACAACAACAACAACACCAACAACAGTAAGACTATGTCTCAGACCAGCGAAGAGACGTCTATTAACGGCACCGGCGGTGGCGGTGACGACACTATTGATGGCTCCATCGATGTCGATGACAACTCATCGACGAAGACTAGCGGCGGCGGCGGTGGACTTAACAATGATTTACTGAACAACAGTCCGGATAATGATAGCAAATATTTATCGGATGATAATATTGATGAAGATATGGACACTACTGGCGATAGTCCGACAGCAACGACGACGACGACAGCAACAATAACAACAACAACACGTGTGACTACACGTAACTCTAGCCGACGGACGACTACGGGTGCCAATTGTGAGGACATTAGCGACTTTAACAATACAAATGGTCGACCACCGTCAACGGCGGCGGTAAATAAAAGAAAGAAAAAGTCGGCAAACAGTCAACAAACGGCTAACCAAATGAACGGTTTGTCGGGTAGTAGTAGTAGTAGTAGTAATAATAATAGTAAACAAAAACCGGACAAAAGTGGTACCAAAAATAAGATGCGCTTACAATACAAGTTTTCCTATTGGCTTCGGGAGGATCATCGGAGTCCTATATTCGGTGTCCAATTTAATCAACATATGCCTGATGGTCAAAATTATTTTGCAACTGTCGGCAGCAATCGGGTCTCAGTTTACGAATGTATGTGCGACGGAAGTATTAGGTTAGTCCAGTGTTACGCCGACACTGATACCGACGAAAGCTTATATACCTGTGCCTGGAGTTACGATGATATGACCGGCTATCCGCTGTTGGCAGTGGCCGGCAGTCGCGGTATTATCCGAATAATTAGTAACGCATCCCAACAGTGCATCAAACACTACATCGGACACGGTATGTGTGGACACTATTAATTTGATTTGTTTATTAATTTTTAATTTTACTGAACTATTGTCTAATTGCTACCATAATTTCTTACCACCCACCTCCCCCCACCCCCTGCTGTCTCAATAGGTAACGCTATTAACGATCTCAAAGTACATCCAACGGATCCCAATCTGCTGTTATCGGTCAGCAAAGACCATACGCTGCGTTTGTGGAACATAAAGACCGATCAGTGTATAGCCATTTTTGGCGGCGTCGAAGGTCATCGGGACGAAGTATTGTCTGCCGATTTTCATTTGCGTGGCCACAAGATTATCAGCTGCGGAATGGATCATTCGCTGAAGATCTGGTCGATGGACACCGAAGATATACAGCAAACAATTAAGGAATCGTATACGTATAACGGCTCGAAAACTAATAAACCGTTTGAAACTATACGTAATAATTTTCCATTGTTTACCACTCGGGATATTCATCGCAATTATGTGGACTGTGTCCGCTGGTTCGGTAATTTTGTATTATCTAAGTCGTGCGAAAATGCTATTGTTTGCTGGAAACCGGGCAAACTTGAGGACGAACAGGACATTGGTTTACCGAAAACCTATTCAAGTGATTCTTCAACTTCGACACTAATTCATAAGTTTGAGTACAAAGAGTGTGATATTTGGTTTATGCGATTTTCGATGGACAGCCAACAAAAGATACTGGCTCTGGGCAACCAAAATGGTAGAGTTAATGTGTGGGACGTGGATGTCGACGATCCCTTTGTGCCCAGGTATGTGTGTGTGTGTGTTTGTGTATATGCGTGTATTAAGCATCGGTATGTGGTGTGTGTGTTGTGTTTTTTATGTATGCATACCATTAGCTAAGATATACATAAGCATTAACTCATATATTCTTGTTTTATATACAGTATATATATGTGTATATAATTATTATTGTTTTACTAGTTTTTTATTCAAACCAAAAATACAAACCCTATTTCTCTCTCTCTCTCTCTCWCWCACACACACACACACCTCTCCCGCTCTCTCCCTAAGCTTTAATGTATTACTAATTGAGAAAATAATTTGAATTTTATATTATTTATTATTTATATTTTTTTATTTGTTTTTTTTGTTTGCAAACAAAAATGTTTTGATATTTTTAGAGTGAAAACAAAATAGTCATTAATTTCCTAACTTTTAATGTTGAAGACATTTAACATAAAATTCTCATTACTTGTGTGTGTGTGTGTGTTGTCTGATATAATTATCTTTTAATTTTTTATAAAAATATATTAATAAATAGTCAAATTTATAACTCATTTATTCATTAAATTAGTTAATTTATATTTAGTTTAATATATATATAATGATATCTTTTTAAACTATATGTTTAAGTTATACAATTGATAATATGTGTGTGTGTGTGTGTGTGTGTGTGTGTATCGGTAATACATTATATTGGTGTCTAAATTATATAGCTATTGAAATATATTTATAAATATAATCGGATTGATTGATACACTATTTTTTCTCAATTATTTTCTATACATAAATATAATATATTATTTTTGTTTGTTTCTATACCTCCCAATGATATCTTTATATATAAATTTAAAGGTGTATCCAATTAACTCATCCAAAGTGCACGACAGCCATACGCCAGACCTGTCTGAATAGCGACGGCTCTATATTGTTATGCGTTTGCGATGATAGTACTGTCTGGCGCTGGGATATTAGCGGCACTGGCGGCCAGTCATCCACATCATCATCATCATCAACAACAACAACTAGTACTACTACTGCTACTACTACCATGACCACCAACTGTACAACCACTAGTAGTACATCCACACCCACCATCCCCACTACCAGCAGCAGCAGCAGCACGGGTACTATCATCACGGGTAATGCCAGCATAGCTGAACAGTTGACTTTTGACGAGCCATCATCGTAACGCATACCTAAACCGTAACCATTCATAAGTTTCATGTATATGTATAAAAAGGATAGGGATTACGAGTTTTTTTTAATAATTTAAATAAAAATAATAATTAATTACAACCAATCAATCAATTGGCTGATTATTAAAAGAAAATTTATGACATTTTTATTATTGTTATTAATCAATAATAAAATCATTTTTTATATTTATATATATATATTGTAGATTATTATCAATGATTATTCGTGATTTTAATAAGATTTTTTTGTCTGATAATTTATTTTGATAAAACTTATGTAGTTTTAAAACAAAAAATTTTAATACAAAATAAAAATTTGATTTTTTCCTCAAATTATTAGATAATATATTATTTTTTTTATATTGTTGTTGTTGTTGTTTTATTATGAATTTAATATATTTATTTTAAGTTATTTTTTTATTTCTAGCAAAAAAAATAATTAATAATTAATTTGAATGTCACTAACGTTTATTTGAGTCTAAATTTATATATATATATATTTTTTAAATAACTCAAATTTCATATGACTTAATAAGCTATAAAATAATCAATGTTTTATTTATGAGCGACAAAACTAAACGAAAATATTTTTTAAAAATAAATAAAAATAATTTATTTTTTTTTGTTGAAACATTTGAATATATATTTAAATTTTTTACGATGTTTTTTCCTAAACGACACAACAATTATTGATATTATGATATAATAATAATATAAATGATTAATATATTTTTGATTTATTTATTATTACACAAAACAACATTGACAATTGACATTTATATATTGAATATATGATATGATTATTATTTATTAGTAGTAGTATTTTATTTAATAAATATGCATTAATTTGTTTTCTTAGTTTATTAAAACAAAAAATTATTAACCATTTTTTTAATATATATTTATTTATGTTAAGTGTGCACAACATTTATCTACTTTTTTTAAAAAAAATATGTATTTTTAAAATAATAATAATATCACATATTTTTATTTAAAAAAAAAACTATCGTCACCAATGAAATATTATTGAAAGGTTTTTCAACATATATAGACTAAATTTTATTTTAAAAAAAATAAATATATATAAAATAGTAGTAATAATATAAAAATTAATTTTTATTTTTATTATCAATAGGAATGTGCACTAGTCATCATTTATTTATTTTTTTCACTCAAAAAAAATTTATTTAAAATATTTGGTGAATGCCTAATAAAAATTTATTATTCATAATAATAAAAAATATATTATTAAATTATTTTATTTTTTTGTTTGTTTGTTTGATGTTTACATAAAATATTTGTTATTTTTTTTGGAAAATTATTAATTTTCCATATATATATATATATTTAATACAATATGTATTTAGTTAAACTAATTTATTTATTATGAGTACTATACACTAGTTTAATGTACATTAAAAAAAAAAATGTTTATTACAAATTGCATAACTTTTACTATGTGTGTGTGTGTGTGTGTGCTTAATATTTTCATACATTATCCCATATATTATTATTATTATTTTGTACATAAAATATTTGAAATAAATACAGTATTAATAATATGGTACTGTACACATAGCAAACAAATAAAAATATTTTTAAAAATATACATTTTGTTGTTGTAGTAGTAGTAGTAATAGTATTAATAGTACATAATCTAATCGCTTTTTATTAATGCTATTTAAATAGCAATTTAAATAGTTTTTGGAAACAAACAAATACCAAAAATTCCTAACCATTTTGTATTAAAAAAAATATTTGTTGAATATTTTTTTTATCAATAAATTGTTTTGAAAAAATACAAATTTTTGTCTCAATAGTTTTTAAAAATATTTATATACACAGTACTGTACAATATATACTGTAATATAGAGAAAGTATATTTATAAATATTGAAAATATTTTATGTGTCCCTCAACTTGTAAATTTTAATAAAATAAAATTTATATTATAATCATCATTATTATTAATTTTAAAATAAATGTTGTATAAAAATAGATAATGACAACTAAATAACTGTAGGTTTTATATATATTGTATATATATATATATCTATAGATTGCAAATATGTGTGTAAATTATACTTTGTTTGTATCTCATAAAACTATAAAACTATAGGAGTATTAACTTTAATATCAATGTACAGTATATTATTTGGTTACATAAATTAATTAGTGATTTATGGTATAATTATTAATTATGTGTAATTTTTTATTGAGATATAATTATGATATATTGCAATTATTACAATCTAAAATATTTATTATATGATATAAATTATATACTGTAAATATATATATATGATATATTTATAAATTTAGTTATCTACACTGTATATACTGTATAAATTAACAATAACGATTAATACACTATAAATATTTTAGTGTTAATATATATTATAAATTAAATAATTACAGTATATATATATATTGTGTCAAAATATCAATTAAACGTTTATAAAGAGAGGTTAACTGAATGTGTATTTATTTCAAACATTTATTTCATATATATTTTTAAATAAATAAATTTTTATCTCCCAAATAGAAATACTTGAATTAAAAGTATTAAATGATAGGAAAAAAATTATTTGAAAAAAGTTTTATCATATAAATTATATATACAGTAGAGTACAGTTTATACAAATATGTGTTGTTAACTGATTAGCAAATATTTCTCTCTCTCTCTCTCTCTCTCTCTCTCTCTCTCTCTCTCTCTCACTCTCTATTAATTATTCACTCACTCGCATATAAACCAATTATTGATAAAAGCAATTATTTCAAAAGCATATATAAATATAATGACATTATCAGAGAGCAAATAAAATATATTTAAAAAAATGCATTATCACTATAGACACACACTAATGCATAAGTAGATAATTAAATACTAATTATGTTTTATTGCATAACACATTGTGTGTGTGTGTGTGTGTGAGAGAGAGAGAGAGAGAGAGAGAGAGAGAGAGAGAGAGAGAGAGAGAAATATGATAATTGCAAACAATTGCAATCATAGCACACAAGTATTTTTTTATTTAATATATATTTAATATATATTGATTATAAAATTTTTTTTATTATATTTTATTAGTAATTGTATGAATAAATTCCTTGACTGGAAATAATCATTGGGTAAATAATTTTATTTTCAAAACAATTTTTTCCGATTGTATTGTTTAGCAATTTTTGTTGTTGTATGTGTGGTAGGGTTGTTGTTGTTGTATATACCGGTATATAATATACTATATACCATATATATATATATTGTATATATATTGTAATAATTTCAATACAATTGTAAATAATTTATTATCTTAAGGAATACTAGTAGTAGTAGTAGTAGTGAATAATCAGTTCATTATATTGTTTCCCGTCATTTACTTGTATGACTACACATACATACCGTACACACACACACACACACACACACACACACACACACACACACACACACACACACACACACACACACACACACATAGAYACATACACACACACAATGTGTATTTATAAATAGTTTTTGATTAATCATTAATATGTTTATTGAATGCAATGAGATTTTACCCTTAATTTTATCGGCTTTTTTCAACAAACAAAACAAAAAAAATACTCAACAACTGAAACTATTGAAAGAAAATAACTTCACATATAATTAATGGTGTTTTTCATCTCTTATATATTATGCTGTTTTGTTGTTATCTCTCTCTCTCTCTCTCTCTCTCTCCAACTCTCTCAATGTGTTTTTTTTGTCTTTTGTTTGCAAATAAAAACATTATATACATATATATATTTGAGTTTTTATTATTAGTGTAAATAAATGTGAAATAAATAACTAGACAAACATCAAAAAAACATAAAAAATATTAGTCAAAAAAATAATAATAATAAATGCTTAAAATAGTTGTCTTGTGATTCATATGCTCTCTCTCTCTCTCTCTCTCTCTCATCAAAAATGCAATGCATTTATAAATTTAACTCTTTATATACTGTTTTTATTTTCCTTAAATATAATTAAATTGCAAATTGCAATACAAACACAATATTGTTGTATATGTGAATGTTGTTGTGTACTGTATATGTATGTGAATGCAATTTATTTGGGCATATATTGCAAAACAGAAAATTAAATAATAATAATAATAAAAATGATAGAAAAAATGGGAAAAACTTTTATTTTTTTTTTTTTTTTTGGTTTTCTTTAATCAAAATAAATCTTTTCGTTGAAATTTTTTTTCACCAAAAATAGCAAACATTTCATATATTATACTGTGTGTGTGTTGTGCTGTCTCATTGCATGTGATCTCATCGCTTACATACCATTCCCCTCGCCTAACATACAGTTGTGCCCACACTTTTCTCTCTCTTTCTCTCTCTCTCTCTCTCTCCCTTTCCATACTATGATGACTAGAGAGAGAGAGAGAGAGAGAGAGAGAGAGAGAGAGAGAGAGAGAGAGAGAGAGAGAAGTCAAAGAAACTCATAATAAACTAATTTAAGACACATTCCTGAGTGTACACACAATGACAGTCATAGAGTATATGACTTTTATAATATATTTTGCTCTTTTGTATGACAAGACAGAGAGAGAGAGAGAGAGAGAGAGAGAGAGAGAGAGAGAGAGAGAGAGAGAGAGAGAGAGAGAGAGAGAGAGAGAGAGAGAGAGAGATAGTTGAAAACTAGTTGAATGATTAACTATTATATGTTGAAAGTCCAGTGAGAGAAAAATATAATATCATTTTAATTTGTTATTTTTGAATCAGAAATCTCCGACACATAAGCAAAATGTCAAACATTTTTTGTAATTTTAAGAAAATAAAGTCTATTAAATTCATTCTCGATATCTATGGATAATCATAATATAATATAACTTTATATACAAATTTTTTTAAAAAAATATTATTATAATAATAGATATAAAACACACACACACACACCGACATACTATATATATATATGATAAATACCGGTAATACATGTATTATTAATAACTAAAAATATCATTAGTATTATCATTATTAATATTATTATTTTATTTTTATATTATTTAATATA